ATTTGTTTTTTGAAGCTAAGGTTTCATTTTTGGGTGACTACAACAGCATACCAGAAGCCATTAAAAATATCGGTAAAACGAGTGATCGGCACAACAATCGGTTCATTTTCTTTCATAAAGAAAGTTTCAAAATCTTTAACTAAGAGATTTATCTTAGTTTCTTTCACGTTGCTAGTTCCAACATGAGTAATTTCTAAAGTATGCCAAATATTATAAGCGAAATCACATGTACTAATACTATTAAATTCATTTCTATCTAAAATACGATAAAACAATTTTTTTGCTCTAACATTTAAAGACAATTTTCTTTAATCATCTTCGTTATATTCCTCTTTAGGTTTAAAAAGTATTTGATCCGGTTTACCATCCTCTTTAATAACCTTTTTAGGCACATATGAACCAAATTCAATAACTTCCCAAATATTATAATCTATTGATTGAATAAATATCGACATCCTAGTCTTCCAATAGTTATAATGAGTACAATCAAATAAAGGAAGACAATTTGTAGAATACCCCTCAAGATTTTGAAAAATGTGGTTAGCCATTACTCAATATAGTGAAATCTTTAAAATTGAGCACCTAACTTGGATACCAATTGATAGCCCAAGAATAACTAACCAAGAAGGGGTGAATTGGTTTTTAAAACTTTTTCGAAGAATTAATTTAAATTCAAGCAAGTAAAGACTAAATAGATTAATCAAAATAGTAAGCACAAATATAAAAGGGATAACTAAAAGGGAGAGATGATGTAAACGATATATTTGTGGAGGTTCGATCCAAAACAATGATCCCCCATTACCAAACTCTCCGGCACGAGTAAAACCTTTTTACTATGTTGATTGACTTAAGGTGCAATCTAACCCTTTACAATGCTTCCGGTGACTTACAAACAAGAAGTGTCGATCCTTATACAATGTTGAGTTTTAAGGGACCTCAACACGACCCACACTATTGAGCTTTACGGGACCTCAATATGACTCACACGGTGAGTTACAACAAGGAGCATCTATCCTTATACAATGTTGATCTTTAAGGGACTTCAAGACGACCCACACTTTATCAATGTGATTTTACAATGAAATTCCTTTCTTGATAAATAATACAAACAAATTAAGTACTAAGAGAGACTAACACTTCAATGAATAGTAATAAATGATAGCTCAAGTGTTAGATGAAAAACTTTAATGAATATGATAGTCAAAATTAGATTCAATCAATCAAAATATTTCAATGAGAAGATGAAAAAATAAATAAAATGTATGTTCAAAAATCTTTTCAAGAAATATCTCTCTTTTAATGGATGATTATAATGAATTAGTTACTAAGAGAGAAATGAGAAATTTTGATGAATATGATAATTTTACAAGTTTAGTTCAATCAATCAAAATTTCAATATGAAGAAGAAGAAGAAGAATAAAAGTTTATGCAATATAAGTGTAAAAATCTTCTTAAAAAATATATCTCTTTCAAAATTGATATAAATAAATTAAGCACAAAAAAAAATGAAAAACTTTGATAAGAGAAGTGATTTAAAAAATTTAATCCAATAATCAAAGTTTTCGTTATGAAAAAATAAATGAAATGAATGTAAAAATGTAAGTTCAAAGAGGATTTTTCAAATATATTTCTCAAAAAAGCATTCTTATGGTTGTTTATGAATATATAGAGAAGTGGTATTTCTATAGATGAAAAATGTCAAAGTTTCGTTCAAATCGGATGACCGATCCAGTCGATCGTCAATTTTCGGATGACCAAATTGATCGTTTGTACAGACAAAATCAGAAGTCAAAACGGTCAAAAATCTGACCGTTGGAGATGTCCGGTCGACCGCCATTTTTGGCCAGTCGACCGCCTGGTCAACCAGTTGACCGTCGGTCAAATATATATATATACTTTTTGAGATATGATCTAAATTCAAGTACACTTTCAAAGATCAATTTTACTTTTGATCAAAAAAATTTTATGCAAGTGATATGCAAATAATTCTTCATGCACAAAATGATTTTTGAGCTATTGTCATTCATTACTAAAGATCAAAACGTTATACCTTTACATTTAATCTCAAAAGCATAGTTTTTTATCTTGCTTCGAAGTTTATTTCATATTTGGCTCTTAAACTCTTGATCTTGTTCTTCTTCATGAGTCCGATTTGATAGTTTTGATTTTAATCCTTTAAGCTCTCATGTCAAATGATTTGACTTGAACGTTTAACTTTCACTTTGATCTTCATTTCGTGTTCGATTTATGATGTGTTGATTTTGGCGATACTTGATTGATTTTAACGTTGAACTATCATAACTCAAAATCAATTGTTGGAAATAATATTAATCTTGTTTGTTATTATCAAAACATTAAGGATGAAATCAACGATAGGTCAACAGAAACACAAATTAATACAACACTAGACAATTTTGTTAAAATAAAAAATGACAGTTAATTGTCATTCGCGACAATAACTATCATGAACGATAGATTATGTCCTTAATTCAGCTAATGTCATTAATACAGTTAATTGTCGTTCGCGACATTATCTGTCCAGGAAATTGAAATTTCAACTGTGATGCATTTTTCACACAAATCCTTCTTCACATCACATTTGATCTTGATTAATATTCCCCAAACACATTCACCACAAAGTTTAGAAATTGCTTACTACGTATAATCCAGAATACAAAGCAACATGTTTGGCACCAAAAAATGTCTATAATAATTAATATGTCAATGACCAATTTTTTCGCAGAATTGCACACATTTTGGAAAATTAGTATAATCAACGCATTGACAAAACCAAAAGGAAAATCCACAAACAAAAAGGCAAAAAGATTTATGATTTTCATGCTAAATTTTCCAAATCAATACTTCAACAATAAATCCCACTACACTAAAACATTTAATTCTTCAGAATTTCTAAAAATGGAAATAAAATATATATTTTTTTCATAAAACCTAATCCATACAACTCTTCTGTGTAATATAAAAATTAATGAAAGCACAACTAAATCATTACACTAACGTCATGGAGAGAGAGATTGATTTTATATAGAGAACAACTTAGAGCGAAACGTCGAGATAAGAAGGAGTTGTCTACGGAGATGAGGAAGTTCAAAGTCGAATATTCGATTTTATGAAATAGAAAATGTGATATGTGTTTTTTTTTTTCTAAGGAGAGAGAATTTCTTTCTTTTTTTTTTTTTTCTTTTTTCCATTGATTAACGAGTTGCCATCGATTTTTCTAATTAAAAGTAGTAAAAATTCAACCTTTTTTTTCCCTATTATTTGATCACCATTAGCTTACAACGCACTAATACCAACTAATGTTGAAAATTTCCTTCATAATAATTTATGATTTCATTATTCAATTTGTAATGAAAATTGGTCATAATTCATTATTTAAGTCCTTCTCATTTTTTTTTATTTTTTTTCAAAACAATCTTCGTTTTACTATTTTATATGTATTTTGTTTTTAATAGTGTGACGGAATAGATGAATTCAATATTATATACGAAACTTTTCAAAGTGTATTATTTAAGAAACTATTAAAGACAACTAATCAACCACAATCCGTAAATCGTATTCTTTCGAACAAGCAACTTCAAACTTCTTCGACATATTTGTGATTATTGTTTAATCTTTGTGCTCAAACATGAATTGTATCATTCTTAATTTTCGTTCCATCTTCGAGCACATGACTTTAATGCTACATTTTTAAGTTTGCCTCCATTTGTCAAATTTATAAATAATGAAAATGATAAGAGTTAGGTAGTCTCAATTGAGTTGGCAGCTGCAATATGAGGGTTCGATTTCTGCCTCTTACAAGGTATGAAATTTGACTCTTTGTGGGCACCAGTACGATAGCTCTTGTATCCTGGCCTGTTGAGGCACATCCCGCTATTTACCTCCTCCACAATGCTCTAGGGGAGGGGAGCGGGGTGAAAATTTTTCTAAACTTATATAGATTTTTTAATATATTCATAATACATATAGATTTTGTCGACCTAGCATTTTTTTTATCCATTTACGTGAAAATCCTGACTTTGCCAGTTATTATATACATCTCAAGCATTAGTATCTCAGTAAACTACTTCCATACTGGAAATCGAACAAATACAATAAGTAATCGTCATCGTCATTCTTCAATTTATTAAGTATTCCGTAGTATTATAGCTTCACATGTAAATTGTAAATTGATTGGATTGTGATATCGAATCTTGCTACATGTACATTAAAATTTGCATAACGAATTATATAATGTCACGTGATACTCTACCAATTGTCAATTTAAAACGCAACCAACTTTTTCATCCAATCCCCCCCAACATTTTCGGTAACCGTTTATATACATTTTTTTATGTACAATTAGTAAAATCTTGTGATCTTCTCCCAAGCAAGGATTCACTTGAATAGTGAATAGAACGATCTAGAATGGGAATTAAACTTCGATGGATTTTCGAAACTCTAATCATCTAGAAAATGACGAATTCACACGATAGAATTAGTTAGAGCTCTTTAAACCTGATATACTTATTCAGAAAGCACGCATTTCCAACTTTTTATTGGCTCGTTTTGATCTATAAATAAATCTTTTTTACATATTATGATTACCGAATATATATTCAAGAATTTTAGAGACTTTTGTCTTACTTTTATTGAATGACGAACCTATAAAAATAAAGAAATAATAACCATATATTCTCCCTGAATTTAAACTTGTTCATAATTTCTTTAAAGGCATCTTCGAAGAACATTTGAAAATTATAAAAGGGACTTTTCACAAATAACTTTTAAAAAGTGATTAATTTTCGTTTTCTCACAGACTATCGTCCTTTTCAAGAAATTTCAATTTCTTCTATTCTTCCAAATTGCCATTTCGTCAATTTCAAGGAAGAAAATCTCTGAATAAATAGTAAAAAAATCCGAATCCCTGATAATTGTCCAAATCGGAGGTCCTGCCGGAACCCATTTTCTCTCTCCATTGCCTCTGCACTTTCTATCTCTAGGTTTTTATATCAACTTTCAGCTTTTGCTCTCGATCTACTTGAAATTCACGACCATCAATTTCTACATTGTAAGTCCTTGGTTCTCCTTTTTTTTATGCTTATTTTTTTTATTTATCTGTTTTTACTCAAAATCTTTTTGGTTTCGACAATGAATAAGTGATTTTTTTTTTCATTTTTATTACTTACAGTGTTTGGAGTTAATTTTTCCTTCTTGAGTTTAATGTGAATTCTAGACTTGTATTTTGATTCTATTTAATTAAGAATGTAGTTTTTATTTTTATTTTTTGGACGTTAAACCAGCAAGTTTTTGCCGATTTCTTATATTGTGTGTGAGATTTTTCTGTACTAGTAAGCGTACACGCATGAATGCACTTATGTAAGGTGGCAATTCCTGAAAAAGTATTTACGATGTACTTGAACTTTTTAATTTTTTTCATATATATGTAGGAGGCAGGCATAGTTAATACTTGAATTCTTGACTGTAAATAAATTGGATCCAGGATATTGAGATGTTCTTTTCAGTTGTATATTAATGGGATGCAAAGGATTTGTGTTAATTTAATGTCTTTATGTTGATCAGGCTTTGCAAATGATGGAACAAAGATTACTAGAATGAGCCAGACGGAGGTTTCTAAAATGAAGCAGAAGCAACTACCTGTTCCACTTGGGACTCTGATTTGCCGTGAGCTGAGGAATGAGAAGGTGATGAAACCCAATGTAAAGTTTGGGCAGGCTGCTCTGGCTAAGAAAGGGGAGGACTTATTTTTCATCAAATCTGATTGCCAAAGGGTTCCTGGCAATCCATCAGCATCATTTTCAGTTTTTGCGGTGGGTTAAAACCTCGTGATTCTTGGTTTGTGGTTGATACCTTGATTGTTGGTAGTGAATTTCATATACATTATCTTATATACCAAGTTTGGTCCTTTTTTTATTTTTGTAGATTTTTGATGGGCATAATGGTATATCGGCTGCTATCTTTGCAAAAGAGAATTTATTGAACAACGTATTGAGTGCAATTCCTCAAGGGCTTGATAGGGAAGCATGGCTTCAAGCCTTGCCTCGGGCATTAGTTGCTGGGTTTGTGAAAACTGATATAGAGTTTCAGCAAAGAGGCAAGCATAAAATTTTCTTCTTATAAGCTTCTTTCTTTTCTTTTCCTTTTTTATGTGCGCTTTGATGACCATTTGACCTGTTTTACGTTTTCTTATTTTGTCTCTTTGCTATAAATGATAGGTGAGAATTCTGGAACAACAGTTACATTTGTTGTGGTTGATGACTGGACTGTGACTGTTGCATCCGTTGGAGATTCTCGGTGCATATTGGACACACAGGGGGGTATTGTTTCACTCTTGACGGTTGACCATCGTCTGGAAGAGAATGCAGAAGAACGGGAGCGGGTAACTGCAAGTGGTGGTGAAGTAGGGAGGCTCAATGTTTATGGGGGCAATGGGGTAAGATCAATATATATATTCTTTGCTTTTCCCTTTTAACTTGCTGCGGATACTTGTCACTTTGAGACATAATAGTTAAACATTTTTTAATGGTCGGTAGGTTGGGCCACTACGTTGCTGGCCTGGTGGGCTGTGCCTTTCGAGGTCAATTGGTGACACAGATGTTGGGGAGTTCATCGTCCCAGTACCTCATGTTAAGCAAGTGAAGGTTATTAATCTATTAGCCTAAAAGAAGATTAAAATTGAAAATTGTCATCTTAGAATATTTTAAGTTCTTAGCTTGTTGTTTGTGTTAGCTTTCAAATGCTGGGGGAAGACTTATAATTGCTTCTGACGGTATATGGGATGCTTTATCATCTGATATGGCTGCCCAATCTTGTCGAGGTTTACCTGCTGAACTTGCTGCAAAGGTGGTTGTTAAGGTATGCATACTATAAATATTTTATTTTGCAAATTTTTCTTTTAGGTCTTGCACTTAGAACGTTATGGTAATTCTTTTTGTTTGCAGGAAGCACTGAGGTCACGGGGTTTGAAGGATGATACAACTTGCTTGGTTGTTGATATTATTCCTCATGACCATCTAATTTTGCCCCAAACGCCTAAAAAGAAACAAAATTTGCTCAACCCATTGCTTATCTTTGGAAAGCGATCTCAATATTCTACTAAAGGAGCTAATAAACCATCTGCTGTTGGAGTTGTGGAGGAATTGTTTGAAGAGGGATCTGCTATGCTTGCGGAGAGGTACGTGTATTCTCATTTTCATTCATATATTAGCTTCTCTTATTTGCTGTTAGGCTGAAAAATATGGAAGATTGAATTCATTTAGGTAGTCTACCAAGATACTAGTGTAGTCTTAATTTCCCTACAGGTTTCTATTTGTGCTTCTTTGGATGCCCCAAAACATTCATGTCTTAGTCCATAAAGAATTTATTTGTGAGATTATTACTTACCAGGGCAACAACAGGGGCAATTTAAGCTGTGATATTTCTTTTTTTTTTTGTTTTTCTTTAATGTTTTTACTTTTTACAAACTCTGATGCTCGGACTCTTCGAAATAGTTGGAATACCCGTGTTGGATACGACACGACATTGGTATGAGTATGAGATATGTGTCGGATCCTTCAAGTTTCAACCGGACACTTCATCGTTTTTGCTTATTCCTTTTCTTCTTTTTTTTTTCTTGTCCTTTTCTTTCCCTTTTCTTCTTTCCTACTTTTGCTCTCTATAAACCTAGCGTCGTCGCTGAGAGGGTGGAGAAAGATGACGATGCTAAATTTTCCCTTCTTTTTCTTCTTCTTTCTTTCCATTTTCTTCTTTTTTTCCTTCTCTCTCTCTATATCGATGGTTTAAGATTTTGTTTATATAAAATGAAAATAGGTTCCATATAGAGCTACTTAGTGCTCCACTAAGTTTAAACTACAATGAAGTTCCTCATTTTCTATTTTATATAACATTTAGTAATTCTCATTATTGAAAACTACCCCAAAAATTCGTCTTAACCCCTTATTAAATATCAATTTCTTTCATTGTAAATAATTAATTTTGGTCCATTCAAAATGACATCCTGTATTAGTAAAAAAATTGAAAGTTGAAAGACGTACCCACGTACCTGTGTCTGAAATTTAGACTTTTTTTATCCATATCCCCGTATCCTATATTTTAGAAAATAAAAGATCCGACACTTAAATCTGTACCCGATGCCCGTACCTGAGTCTGAACATCTTAGTTTACAAATAAATAATAAATATTTGTTAGTTATTTGTCACATATGAAAGTAATAATGTGTTTCTATAGTAATTCTTCTTGATGTTGTTGGTTATCTAGATTAGAACGGTTACTAGCTGTTAGCACTGTAATATTTTTCATGAACTTTCGTTTTCCAGCTAATTTGATAATAGGAAGACTTTTCATCACATGAATACTATTTGGGAGACCATTCATACTCTATCAAACCCATTAAGATGCTTTTTCGCTTTTTCATCCTTCCATTAAATATGGTTTCAACTGTGCCACCAATCTTTTTAAGAAGTCCATGCTATGTTCAAGAGTGTGAGGAACAGCCTAGGTGTTTCTAAGTGTCTAACAGTGCTTCAGTAAGCCGAAAAAATAAATTGTAAAGAAGAAAATTTAAAAAACTCAAACAAGGTGACGTGGATTAAATTTTTAACTTATAAGATTTTTCATCGAACTGCTGATGTTATTATAGTTATATGCTGATCGTTTTGTGATACTGACATGGAATATTTACTGAACTATTAGCAATTTCTGTATTTTGCTGAAATGATTGTGTAGGGGATTTTTCTTTCTGAATATCCCATGATCTGCTTTAATGAACAGTGAGCTTTGTTTTGAGCTTAGTGCTATTTAGATATTTTNCAAATAGAAAAACAAAAAAAAAAAAAAAAAAAAAAAAAAAAAAAATAGAATAACTCTGTAAATTCTGTATTTTGCTAAAAATATGGTCCATGGGGATTTTTTGTTCTGTTTATCCTGTGCTTGCTTCGATGAATTTAAGTATTTTTATTTAAGTTCCTTTATTCGTAAGAGCCTGAAGAGAATAATGCAGTTGGCGGGTAATGACATACACCTGTTGTGTATTGTATGTCACAAATAGGTTTCATTTTTCTACCCTTTTCTCAGAAATTGATGACTCTTAGTTATCACCTTGATACCAAAGAAGAGTTGGACTGAATGTATTCGGTGTCCTGTCCTAGTCTTCTGGAGAATTTGATGCCTCACTGCACTTTGTACATTTAACAATTATATATTGCCATATATGTCTGAGTCTACTTAATTTTTAAAAAACTTTGTATTTCAATAATTATTTGTAACTGTGACTGATATTAAACTTTGTGCAATTACATGAAAACGTCATACCGAGAACATTGAATGGCTTGAAAAGTTTGTACTGCATCACTCTACCATACTGGGACCTATTTGATGTGGTTAAAATGCTTAAAATTTTGTTTTGATTCCATTTATCTAGACACAAGGTGAGTTGTGTTACCAATACTAGCACCATTGTGCTTTTTATCTCTGACATTGGATCTGAGAAGGAAAAGAAGAAGAGAAGAATATTACAAGAAGTACGAAAAAGAAGAAGAGAAATTAGAAGAAATATGGAGCAAAGATTCGAGACTTCTTGCAAAAGAATCGTTCACTTAAATTCAATCATTCTCTTTTACTGTAAACGATTAGGACTACTTCTAAACACTCTATTGAGTATTGAATATGGCGTGAAATACATGAGGCAGAGGAAATGCGATTTTATTAATTTAATATCCATTGGCAATAGTCTGCTTTCCGATACTGAAAATAGGAAAATGTAACGAAGCTCAATCAATATAAATCTAATCCCTTGTTTCAAATCTTTTTCTCATAAGATGACATGAATAAGCCAAATTTCTTGCACACACTATGAAAATTCAAAATTCCCTTTGTGAAGTTAGACAAATCCTAGTTTCTGGCACTTCAGGAGTGTGAAAGCTAGACCATTGACAATTTATACAAAAGCAGGTATATGAATTACAGGGTTTAAGATGTTTTGAGGAATGATCGCGTTTTTATTAATCATCTATATATTATTTGGCTGAGAATTTTTTATTATAGGATGAGAGAAAAATTAAAAAACAGGAGTAAGTTTTAACTCATAGAAAATGATCTCTGAATAAAAATTTCTACATACATATGTTGCTATTCTGGCTAGTTATTTTGCTGAATGTAGACATTTTTGAGTTTCTGTTATGGTTGTGGTTGATATTAGTCCTCCATACCCATCGGATAAGAAAAATATACTCTGAACAGTATCTTCTTATGGTTTGGCTCTGCTCACTATCCTTGCACCATTATGCAGGCTGGGTAAGGATTTTCCTCTCGACTCTAATTCCGGGCTCTTTAGATGTGCTATTTGCCAAGCAGATCAACCATCAAGTGAGGGTTTATCTGTCAACTCAGGCCCAGTTTTCTCGCCTGTATCAAAGCCATGGGAAGGTCCTTTCCTCTGTGAAAGTTGTCGTAGGAAGAAAGATGCCATGGAAGGAAAGAGACCAATAGGACATGCAATAACTGCATAATCTGATAACCTAGTAAATATCCATATATTTTCATGTGGCAGTGTGAGCATCGATTTGTCTCGTGTTTGT